TAAAGCACTTGAAAATAACAATAATGATAACAGTAAAATTCTAAAATTTGCCACTTTGGAAGCAGTAATACTGCAACATTCTTTGCAAGTACAGTAATTAATAAACCTTTTTCATTTATACTGTACTCATGAACCTCTATCATTTATACCTGTACTAATGTATTTCATTAATAATTTAATCCACATTTAATTTATATTTAATATTTGTTTTATTTAAGTTTCTAGCAGTCCATGGTGCTTTAGAGACACAGTAAGGGTATAATTAGTGGGTCAGAGGTGTATTGTTGAATTATTATTACGTGACCTCTGTTGGTCCGACAAGTCTCTGGTACCAAGGGTGCCAGAAAATCAGTGGTGTACTTGTATAATGTGCTTCCTTTAGTCAAAGATTAACCAAATACCAAGATTACTTTCTTCCATAACACTTATAAATCAAATTATCATCTTGCATTTATTACAATTAAAAGCCATGTACAATTTATCTGCCCCACTTACTAAATGATCTAAATCCTTTTGTAAATCAGCATCCTCCTCCTCACAGCCAGCAACACCCTAGACCGTAATATCGTCAGCAAATTTAAGTAATTTATTGACCATTCATTCAACTATATTGTTGATGTAAATCAGAAAATGCAAAAGTCCTAACAATGAGGCCTGAGGTACCCTATTTATGACATTAATCCAGTTTGATTGAACTTCATTTATAAAAAAAAATGCTTTCTCCCATCCATCTACTTTTCTATCCAATAGGCCAACATATCACACACATACACACACCTATAATTTTTTTAAGAACTTTTTATGCTTCTGAGAATCCAAATATACCAACACCACACTCTTACTCCCATCTATGTAAGTGGTAATAACCTCATCAAAGAATGCCAAAATATTAGCAAGGTTCCCCCCCCCCCCTAATGAAACCAACATTTTAAGATTAAAGTGAGATACAATGAAAAATTTACAGAACTATAGCAAAGCTAGGTATCTGGTTAAAAAAGAAATTCGGATATCCAAAAAGACTTAAGAGAAAGAGCTAACTAATAATCTTAAAACTAACAACAATTTTTTTCAGTATATTAAAATATAGTTTTTACCTTAAAAAAAGTTCTGAGATGGCTATGCTTTTAAAATATTTTCTCCTTGTTTTTAGAAGAAAAGATATTACTACTATTCCCAACCCTAAGCATTCTATGAGAAATATTGGAATTGACCTGAATCATGTAGATCTGTCTCTTGATAGTAAGTAGAAGAATTGAGAGATTAATAACAGATGTTACCAGGGTTAAACAAGGGTTTTAAGGAAGGTTAAAGATCATACATGCAAGCTTCTCTCTTTCATTTTTTGGTAGGTAAATAGACAGTGGTTAAGTGTTTGAGAATCAGAGATGTGCTAATGCTATTCTTATTTTTAATGGGATTGTTATGAGTTACCCTTGAAAAATCATAAGTCAATTAGTCTTACTAGTCAAATTTAGTGAAATAATATCATGAAAAAAGGCTAACACTGATTCACCAACAGGAAAGTTAGTTTTATCTGTTATATTTTTGTTTGAGGATGTTATTTACCTAAATACTGGAAAGGCTGTGGAATTGTTGTACTTGTATCTGCAGAAAGCTTTTGATGAGATGCCAAACAAAAGATTAGCTAAGGAAATCGCCTTGGTTGGAAATAGTGACAGACTAGTTAATTGGATTATAGGGTAGATGAATAAGGGAAAGCAAAAGGTTTTTATTAATGGAGTCCAGTAAAACTGGATCCCTGCATGTAGAGGAATATCTCAGGAGTTAGTGCTTGGACTTTTTGCTTTTTTTTTATTTATTTACATTAAGTATACTGATAGAGAATAATTAATAAAGTTTGTTCATTACATTAAACTGTTGGATATTTCTTGCTGTATTGAGGATGATGAGGTATCACAGAATGACTCAAAGCAATTGATAAATTGGACAAGTATTTAGCAAATGACCTTTAATTATAGCAGGTGCAAAGTAATAGGTTTGGTAGTAATAATTTGTGTCACATTTAATATTGATGGGAACCCACTCAGTATCATAACTAAAGAAAAAGATCTTAGCATAGTGGTGGATAAATCTCTCAAGCCATTGAATTCAGTGCTCTGTTACTTGTGGTGTATTTATACATGTAAAAGTTACAAGACAAAAGCAGAAATCATCTTTCTACATAAACTACTAGTTAGGCCTTATTTGGAATACAGTATCCAGTTTAGGTCCCATTATTTAATAGGTATCCACTTACTGGAGGTCTACTAGGATAATTCTAGGTATGGAAGGGTTATCTTATAGGGAAAGGTTAAGATCTGTTAACTTATTTTCTTTTGAAAAAAAAGGGTAAAAGGTGACATTATTTAAGGCTACAAGATTATCTAGGAGATTGATAGAATAAAAGCCTCTGTTTTGTTGTGCTATATTCTGATTTAAAATAACAGGATGAGAGGACACAAGTTTAAGATTTGGAGGACAGGCTAAGTCCCAGTTAAGAGTTTTATTTTTCTAATAGGGTGACTTAAGAAATGAGTTGCTGTCAACAGTATTGTAGACCAGAAATTTACAGGACTTTTAAAGGAGAATCAACAATTTCCTGACAAATTGAGGGTGTGTTTGAATTTTTACTTTTCTGAAAGGTGAGTATGTAAGGACACTTACAAAAAATCAAATGGCCCCTTGTTGTTCATACATTATATAAAAATAGAAACCTTGTTAAAAAAGTAAATGAGAAAAAAAAAGTGTATATTAAAAAAATTAACTAACACCTATGTGCCTAACCACTTATAATCATAAATATGATTAACATACATTATCTAAATATAGTTCAGCCCTATTAATCAATAGATAATTGTAATAATATTCTCAATCAATGAACACTGCCAAACTACAACAAATATGACTTATAACACACACACACAAAACACGCCAATCATATCCCCTCTAACTCTTCTTTTTTCAAGATAAAACAATTTGAGAGATTTCAACCTCTTCGCATATGACAACCCCTCCAACTCAGGCACCATTCTAGCAACCATTTCCAACAATTCAATGTCCTTCCTAAGGTAAAGTGCCCAAGACTGAACACAATACTCCAAGTGAGGCCTAACCAGTGACCTATACAATGAAATAACCTCTTTAGACTTGTATTTAATGTTTCCATACATACAACCTAAAATCCTATTTGCCTTACCACTAGCAACAGCACAGTGCTTGGATGGCTTAATAAACTGATTAACCATTATATCAAGGTTTTCCCACAACTGATGTAAAACTAATGGGCCTATAATTACTGGGACAGTTTTTATCACCTACCATAGAAGGAGGAGTGACATTAGCTAACTTCCAATCCTCTGGTACCTGCCCACTATTCAAGGGCTTACAAAAAATAGGAGCAAGTGGCTGACATATCCAATCATAACCTCCTCCAAAACCCTTGTGCAGAAAATCAACTTTGCTTTGCATTGAATTTACTCTTGTGCTATTTACACAATATCAAGGATTTTTTCACTTCTGGAAGTTTTGACTTTCCCATAAAAGGTGTGACAGGAGAGTTTCATTAGATTATAAGTTCGCTAGTTGTATTGGTCATGTAAGGTTTAGAAGTACTGAAGACTCCATCTTTCCTATTTTTTTTTAAAGAATGGTCACATGACAGGGGTGACAAATGTTCTCTGGAAATTTCAATCATAAACAGTATTGATTTATCACTTTTTACCAAATTTTCACCCAGTATAGATCTCTTTCTAACAATCTGAGAAAAGTGCTACATCCAACATCTGGATTAGTTGTTTCTTGTATCTTAAAATAGATAGTTTTACTTTTGTTGTTTAAACTTGTAAGAAGTCAATATTCTCCATATGTGGATGGAATTCAGTTTAACTCCATAATATATATTTTTTTTAAACCTCTTGTTAGGTAGTTACTATTCTTATCTGTACTCCAAGAAATCGTTGTACCTGAGAATAGCACAGTTTCACCATTTCTTAATCATGTTAATGCCAAGTTAACTAATGTAAATTAAAAGCATTTGGTATAATTTTTTTATAATATTAAAATGCAATTTATAACTACATTTAACATAATAACAGTGCTAGTACTACTGACAACTGTACTATACAGCTAGTCTTTATCTGGATTTATAACTAAACTGGTTTAATTACTTTTAGTTTTAAGTACATGTGAACGGTGGCAATGCCAAATGGAGGCAAAGGGATGCCACCCTGAAAATTGTCTGCCTCCCCTAAAATTTTAATTTAAAAAGTTCAGTAAAAGTTACATCTCCCAGAATATGATTTATTCAGTTACTAGGCAACCATACATATAGAAAACCCATCCAACAAAATATTATCCCTGTTGTCTCTGCAGTCATTTGTAGTATGTATTATTAAAACTTCAAAACTGCTCAGTCAAGTTGAAGCCAGTGCACGAGTCCAGCAAAAAAATTAAATTGGAACCATGGAAACTACTAAAGAAAGTGTCTATTTTATCAAACAAAACTATTTAATAACTTATTAGTGCACTTCCTTGTTCTTTACATTTGTGTTATAATTTATGATATTGTTCCAACTGTTCCATGGAATTATGTTTAAGTTTTAAAATGTTCAATGAGTTTAATAAATTCATGTTAGTTAATTAATTTGCAGAGTCAGTGTGATACCTCAATGAAAAAATGCACTGAACCGATAAATAACTTTTACAACAGAAAAGTGTTTGTAATATTAATGAAAACATTCCAGAGCCAAATAATCGTTCTTTCATAAAACTACTTAGATTTAATTCCATAAGTTTCCTTCCACTTATTAAAAAAATATATATATTTCGGTTTCCTCAAGCCTATCTCAGTATCTGTCTACCAGTACCACATTACTAGTAGGCAGTAACAACCTTTCACCTCACCATTTTCACAATTCTGAAGTTCGCAGTGAACGTGATTTACTTTTATTTGACGATTTGTAATACATTTAATTTTGACAGGTTATTATATTAAATTAAATTCTTAATTAAAGGCTTCATGAAAATTAATATCAATAAAAAAAAATAGTAATAGTATCACTATCAGGGTCCACCTGTACTACTACTAGTCTATAGCGTAGTTTATATAGGTCGGCACAGTATTAATATTAGTATTACGAATTATAACAGGTGTATTATAATCACAGTAAAACTGACAAACATACTAACAAAACTTACCCTTATTTTTTTTAACGTGAATATAGAAGTTTAAACTCCTCTGTCCAGTCAGTATCAGTCACGAGATCACACATTAGACGTCATTGTCAATATACTTACGAGATAGGTGACGCTCTTGGAAATTTTTGACATACAGTTGTAAATATCCAAATCGAACGCTAATAGACAGTAATTCTGAAGGACCGATTTTCTGATTGTATATTCATCATTAGCAGTTTTTTGAAGGAACTTATTCAGACGTTTTCGTTGGCTGTTATTTATATTAATGATATTTTAAAATGTGATTATTCTAATTACAGAAAAAGTTTATATTGTGGAAACAGTTAGTTAATGTAGCTGATTATGCATTTCAGATTTCGATGCCTTTGTCATTTGCATTTCGCGACCACTCTGTTAATTAGATAGAAAGAGAGCATTTCTTGTTTGATACATTGATGTAGGGATGCGTGCGCGACAAAAAGATCGGAAGATATTTTTGGGTTTGCGATTCTCAGTATAACGTAACATAATGTTTTGGGACAACAAAGGACTTATTTGTCCATCTCGGCTATCCCATCCTATAAACTAAATTAAAAAATATTATATAAATAAATCCTAAAAAATTCTTAAAGCCAGTCCTTATCAATTATATACTTATTAAGCTTTCTCGTAAATTTACTTCCTCCTCTAACTCTTTTTTTTTTCAAGAGAAAACAATTTGAGAGATTTCAAACGCTCCATCCCAGACACCATTCTAACAACCCGTTCCAACAATTCAATGTCCTTCCTAAAGTAAGAAGCCCAAGACTGAATACAATACTCCAAATGTGGCCTAATCAGTGACCTATACAATGAAATTATAACCTACTTAGACTTGTATTCAATGTTTCTGTACATAGAACCTAAAATCCTATTTGTCCTATCACTAGCAACAGCACAGTGCTTGGATGGCTTAAGATACTGATTAACCATTATACCAAGTTTCTGTTACGTCTCCGTTCGTTAATTGATTTTTTTGTAACTTCGTTCCGACGAAAATTTAGCGACACAAGTCCTTTCTTAATAAAACTGGTTTATTCTTTCCGAATATAACTTTACGATACACTTAATTTCAACAATCACGCTAAAACAAACGCTATAACAACGAACGTGCTCAACTTCAATAATACTCTCTGACTGCAGATAAATTACTCACTGTCTACACTCATTGTTGTCACGTTGTGAGCGTCTTATATATATACCAGACAAACATATATCTAGTAAATGCTAGGGCATTCATGAAAGAACAAGATATTCTAGAAACGTGGCGTGACACTAGTCACGTGACCTCGCTGACGCAACAGTTCCTTTCTTTCATGACACTGTTAAGGTTATTGCTATCCAAATTGTACTTAAATTCAAATTACGATTACCCACATGCGTCATCTTGCATTTATTTTAATTAAACCCATCTGTCATTTATTTGTCCAACTCACTAAATAATCGAAATTCTTTTGTAAATCGGCAGCATCCTCTTCACAGCTAGCAACACCCAAGGCCTTAATATCATCTGCGAATGGAAATAATTTATTGACCATTCCTTTATCTATGTCATATAAGTAAATCAAAATGAGCAAAGGTCCTAAGACTGAGCCGCAAAGTACTCCCACTTGTAACATTAATCCATTCTGACTGAACTCCATTCATAACAACCCTCTGCTTTCTTCCATCCAGCCATTCTTCTATCCAGTTTGCTAATTTATTACCCATGCTATAGAGATAATTTTTACAAGCCTTTTATGTGACACCTTGTCAAATTCTTTCTAAAAATCCAGACACACTCAATATACACCCTTACCCTCATCTACATAAGCAGTAACCTTTTCAAAGAAAGTCAAAAGATTTGTAAGGCAAGCTTTTCCCTTAGTGAAACCATGTTAACTATCTAATAGAATTCTAAACTTTGTTAAATGGCTTTGCAAAGCATCTTTTATCAGACTTTCCAAAACTTTCCCCACAACTGATGTAAGACCAATGGGTCTATCATTACTGGGAAAACTTTACCACCTCCCTTGAAAAGAGGAGTGAAATTAGCTAACTTCAAATCCGTTGGCATCTGCCAACTATTGAAGGATTTACAATATACATTAGCAAGTAGTTCACATATCCAATCCTTACTCATTCAAAACCCTTGGGGAAATATTATCTGGTCCAGGAACCGTATCATTCTTTAAACTTTCCTATTTTTTTTTAAAGCTCAGTACTAATGTAGTCATCTTGTTCGAACTTGTTTCCATCTTTTAACTGTTCAAGATGTGGAATACTGCTAAAATCTTCATTAGTGCAAACTAAGAAAAAGTAGAATTTAATAACCCAGTCATCTCATAATCATCAGATATGAGCATTCCTTTATCATCCCACATGGGCCCTACCCCCATTCTAATATTATATTTACCTTAATTGTATTTAAAGAAATCCTTATTGTTAATTTTACATTTTCAGCCAATCTTTTTTCGTACATTCTTTTTGATGTCCTAATTTCCTGTTTGACCAACTTTCTTGATCTTCTATAATCTTGTCAATCTCCCGTCATACCAGTGTATTTAAATTTCTTAAATTTATGATGCTCTTCTTTAATTTTATCTCTTATGCTGATTGTGAGCTAAGTTGGGTTTTACTTGCAGTCACCCTTTTCTTTCTATAAGGAATATGTTTATCTTATCTTTAAAAAATTTCCACATTTGATCAGTGTTTCCAAATAACTCAGCTGCCCAATTCACAACAAATAATTCTTGTCGCATCCCTTCAAAATTTGCTTTTTTAAAAAAATTTGTAACCAAACTCATTATTCCTTATCTCCATATGCAGCAAGACATCAAACCTAATAGAGCAATAATCACTTGCATCGAGATGTTCCCCAATTTCGACCCTCTCAATCATTTCTGTAGTTGAAGCTAACAATAAATATAAAATAGCATTGTTTCCAGTAGGTTCCTTGACCAATTGGCGAAGAAAACTATCTTGAACAATATATCTTGAATAATATATGTTGTAAGCTATATTTTCAATGCAATAGTTTAGCTGTTTGCTAGAGAGAGCTGTTAATTATGATACTTATGCAATACCTAGAAAGTTCATAATCTAGAAATTTCGTGGGATTTGAGACACAATAGTACATTATAAATACGAGTAATCAGTGTGAGAAGATTCAATGATAATTCAATGACATATTTAATCAATGATTCAGTTCAGTGTTTGTAGTGAGGTTTGTTGCGTCTATTAAGATAGTCGATTATTTAGTAAGAACATTTTGTAAATAAGTTGATTTGTAAGGTAGGCGTACCATTAATCTAAGAATTTCTATCACAGGCAACAGTGTGGAACATAATAAATAAGGATCTCCATCTGGAAATGTGAAACAAATCACAAGTGCATGAATTGTTTTCATGACCTATTCATGCAACCAATCAAATAGGTCAAGCAGCTAAAGGATGAAATTGGTATTTGTGCTATTCTCTACAAAGACATGTCACTCAAGACATTGGATGAAGCGCCTATGGGTTTCTGTGTTGCCACACTTTTGAAATATCATCCTTGTAGTCCAGGGTTTATTTTAACGTGCAGTAGACCCATACTTGTGCAGTACTAAAATTTATAATAAAAACTCCAATGTCATTTAAAGCCAATGCATGACCATGATACTGAAAAGCAAAAGTACCTTTATTTACTGTTTATATGACAAGAAGTATATTTTCAATTTTACATATGCTAATTAGAACTTTGTTTTAAAATTTTTGCCAAATACTAAGATGGTTAAAACTTAAAACACTGTGTTTATATGACAAGAAATATATTTTTAGTCGTACCTATGTTGAATAGTACTTTAGTTTACATTTTGTGTCAAATACTACAATACTACATGAGCTTACATGGTAAAGAATGGTTAAAAGACTTAAACACTCTTAAATGCAAAACTATGCTGAATTGTACTTTAATTTACATTTTATGTAAAACACGACATGGTAAAATATGGCTAAAATAGTAAAACTTTCATAAATTCAAGATTTGCAAATAATGCCAAGTTGTATCTTGCATATAATCTAAAAACAAATGCTTCTCAGACTCAGATAATCTCAAACACTGGGTCATGGCACCTGCCTCAAAGATTTGTGCAGTTCTAAAATTTCCTTAAAATAAACCATGCCTTGTACACTAAATGGTTCATTGAAAGTCTACAGGAAGGATAGCTGTTCTTTGGAAATGATTGCCTTACAACATAGCATTTTAAAGGGAAATTATGCTGTTTTTTTCTTTGTTGATTTTTGCACAAAGCTACTCAAGGGTTATCTGTGCTAGCCATCCATAATTTGGAAGTGATAGACTTGGGGGTTATGTAGCTAATCAACACCACCCACTGTCAACTCTTGAGCTACTCTTTACCAAGAAACAGTGGAAATGACCATCACATTATAATACCCTTGCCTGAAAGGCAGTGGTGTGTTCAGTGGTGTGGTTCAAACCCACAACCAACAGATTATGAGTCAAGTGCCCTAACCATCAGGCCATACCAGGTCTACAACACTGCAGGGCTGTTATCAACATGTATGACTATCATTGGTGGGGCCATTAGAGCTTCTGTCACCATTTTTTCTGGTGCTGGTAAAGTGTCAGTGGATATTTCATGCCTGTCTTCCTGACAATTAGCTATCCCTCAACATAACTTTAACTCTGAGTAGTTATTTCTGGGTTTTGGGATGTACTGGTCTTGCCAGAGATGAGCACACATCTAATGTCATCTGGTGGTAATCAAACATCTCTTGACTGGAATGGATACCTCAGGAAAGGCTCCTAGTACCTTAAGGTCTGTCACAATGCATATTATACTACTGATAAAGTGTCATTGGCCACTGTGGCTCAACCAGCCTTGAGTTGGTAATCTGTATTGGACTCTCTGAGGTTGCAGTTCATGTTTTTTTAGTAAGGGCTTGGACTCGTGGATGGATCCATGACTGACTGTGACTGCTAAACCCTGGGAGACTTCATATCCACTCAAACAACTGTGAGATCTCTTACAACAACATATCTTAAAATAGATAATGTTATGTTATTAATTATTACATAAAAGTCTGAATGGTAAATGACTTAAATGAAAATTAT